AGGATGAGCTGTTCACTGATATGAGATGACTATGCCTTTTCTTTGACAGGATGAATTGGACCGTGATTACACCGGGGCCATTGCGGCAGACTTGCTGTTAGCTCCAGTGGCACCTGCTTGGGGAAAAGGTTTTGCGGGGGATGGCTTCAATTGGCTGCTGTGGGGAAAGCGGGGCCTATTGGATTGGAAAACCCCGCCAACCATTGCAATACTTTGCGCGGGTAGTGTGACCTTTGGAATGTGCCTAGATTGAACCACCATTGGCCCACTGCCTTTTCTGATCAGGTAATGATCTCTACGGCCGGCAGTGCCCTGAAAAAATCATTGCTGCTATGATCAAAATGAGAGAGGCGCTGCTATAGCAATGTAAATATCAACTGTATATGCACATGCACGTGTGGTCTCCTTTTGCTTCCATGTTGTGATCTTGTTTGCCAACTCGACCAGGATTGGCAGGGCTCTTGGTCTGCTCGGCTGCTCTATGTGGATGTGGTCCCGGATAGTGATAGGCGCGCAGTCCTTTGCTATCTTGTGGTATTATCATGCACCATGGTCTTAGCAGGTTGAATGAGCAGATGATTCCACGGGAGATGAATTGAGCATGTGTTTGATACACGTTGTTGAGACTTTGACCCCAAAAAAGTCAGGCCCGTGAGCCTTGATGTGATTGAGTGTTTCCGCGCGGATATCTTACATATTGTCGACATGCGCTCACCTGCAGCAATAGAAGGATGCAAGTTGCTTGTTGCTTTGCTTTGCGTAAAGTTCGCTTACTAACAGCCCGGGATCAAGTTGAGCTTTGCATGCAATCATCTTCTTGCGTAATTATTGCGTTGATTGCTCGCGAAAGCATATGCTTACCACTTGCTTGCGGACTGATACGTGCCTTGTGACTCTGCGGCTTTATTGCCTACAGCTTAGCCTTGTTGCTTGTATTTGTTTGTTTGTTGTGTTGTCATGGCGCACGACAAGTGCACAACCCAAGATGGGACACCGGAGACAATGAAACAGCAACGGTCGCTCCAAAACAGATCCACAGAGGGTCTACAGGACCAGCGTGCATATCTGATGAACAGCGCACCTCGGAAAATAAAAACAGTTGCACCATGCAACAGCAGTTCATGATGTTGAATTGATCACTCCAAAGAACATATGGTTCTTATCATATCCAATAATTAATCACCACGAGCCACCACGGCCTCTTACCAAGGCATCAGAAAAGGCACAAGCGCTGGCCGAAGCGATTCACAAAGAGTTACAACGCCGTGCTTCCACGACAAAATCTGCCGATGGTGATTGATATATAGGCGATGAGCATCAAGCGAGCAAACCACCCCATGAGGTGTCTAAGTCTAAGCATATGTGTTTGTGTAAAAACTTGCTTCACCGCTGCAAAATTAAAGACATAAGCGTAGGCCTATTAAACCATAACGGTATGCGCACTTGCTGTTGCAACTTGAACCAATGTGCATGAAAGGCAGACTTACAAAGCAAGCCACCTTGTGTCTACAGATGCTGATGCGGCAAAAAAGGCTATATGATATGCATATGCTTCTGCTGACAGTGTATGTTAGACAGCTTTTTGTTCTCCATCGTGCTTGCGCGTGTCGCGTCGTTGTTTTTATTCTTTCTTGTTGGGTTGTTTCTGGCGGCAATGACGATTGATACAGAGGCGCAGTGCTATTCTCATTCTCTGATGTGTCATAGATCACTTGGCCGCGTTCTAGGTGCAGGAAGACATGACGCTGGATGCACCGGTGCTCAAAAGCTCACATATTATTATGTGGTCGGGGTATTGCCTGCCTGCTTTTCTTGATGCGTTTTACAGGCCAGCCTGACAGACATGAGCGGTTCAGAAACAGAATTAAGCGATTCTGAAACAATCACCATCATCGAGATCAGCGATGATGAAGAGGTGCCAAATTGAAATCATGCTTTGCGAGCTTCTCGCCCATGCATGCTCATGCTCATGCTTAAGCGTTTGCCACAGGAACCATTGCAACCACCCAAGGCTGCATCAAAAAAATCCAGTGGGCAAAAGCCGCGTGGGCTCAAGAGCAAGTTGTCCAACGGGCCCGTAAGTTTCAGGCACAAGCTTCCAGCAGCCTTCAGGTGGACATTTTCAAATGGCAAAAGATTACCGACTCCTCGCAAAATTACACTGAAAGAAGTACCCCTTGTTCCCGTGATGAAACGGATGTTTTCGCGATGATGCGGGGCTGGGGTCGGCAAACAGCCAAGGCTGTAACAATAGTTTTCATGACTGTGGGCAGCAGCTGCTCCAGAGGTAGACGCCTAAGCGCAAGGTGCCTCGCAAAGCATTTATGTGCATGTTCTATAGGTATGTGTTCTAGGATGTGCGCTGATTGGTTTCCTGTGATCAAAATATTGCTGCGCTAATGCTAATGAGTGTGTGTAGGCTGACCTGCGTGCGAGAAGCTTACTGCAAACTTGATTACCGCGGCCATGGCTGTTGATCTCACCACGCCGCTTAAACGTGACCGCCCATGTGTCTGCGATAGGGATCACACTTGCTCGTCACGTGTTTGTTTTTCATTGTACTTTTCTGCTGCAAGGATGGGTAAATCCAGCGGGGCCAGGCCTACCACATGCTCCAGCCTGCGTGCTGCTGTGAAGCCCGTCATCAAGGCCGGATGCAAAGTTGCGACCCAAGTTGACAGACACACCACTGTGCCAAACAATTTTGCAGGAGCATCAGCCGTACTTGAGGCACACGCCTGGCCCCTCCAGCATCGCATTACGGGCAAGCGTGCTGCTAATGCAACTGCTATCACAACTGCTGATGGGTCGGTATCCTTTGTCAGGTGACACCGAAACATATTTACACAAAGTGTGACGAGGCTGTAAGAACACACGTTCCCTTCAGTTCCAGCATCCCGGAATCTCATTGCTGCTTCACAGGTATACTTACCCCGCCCTACACAGGCTCCAGAACACTTTGCCATTAAGGACAATGAAGCGTACGATGCAACCCTTGATGATTCACACGTGCGTCCTTCATGCTCATGGCAAGTTCCAACGGCTCCTGCCGTTGAGGTGTGCTGTACATTTTTTGGTTTCGATTCTTCTTTGCGTGGAACAAAAACAATATGCGTACCAGGACGATATGAAGGCGGAGGCGTGTGATCATGAAAGCATAATTGAGACATATATGAAGAGGGAGGTACATCGAAATGATGTGATGTGACTTGCCACACCATGGCCATCGAGATATTGTGTGTGTGACAGGCACAACTCCGCAATCGCTTACTCGGTGTCGCATTGATCATGCACATGAATCTACCTGATGAACTCCATGAAAAATACAAGGTGTGGCTGTGTGACTTGTTGTGATATGCACGGTTGGTTTACTTGTTGCCTTGCATTTTGGGTTTTGATTGTCTGACCAGGTTGGCCTGCGAAAGCTCTTACACGCAGCAGTAGAGGAGGATGTCGACGTCCCGCAATTGCGCTTTGCGCTTCGCAAAGGGAAACTGCTGCTAACGCCTAAGCTTGTAGTGCAAGAAATTTTGGAAGGCCTGCTATTGTTGTTTCTGACCTTGTGATGAATTTCAAAAGTTGGTTAGACAAGAACATAGTATGCAATGGCAGATCTTCGCGATGAAGAATTCGATGAAATGGAAGATCTGAACCACATGGAAAGATCGGACAGCGCTTATGACCAAGAGGCCCTGCAATGATTGCATTCAGTTTTATGTGTCGCTGATAGCGCGTGTGCTTTGTCAGGTCTATCGTTGGAGGTGATCCAGAAGAGCCGCGTGAAGTAGCTGTGTGATCTTTGAAGTTGTTCCATGCTACAGGAACTAAAAGTCCGAACGCCAAAAGAAATATCAGACGATGACAATGCTGTGATGTAAGCAGCCTCCCGTGCGAGGCTATGCAAGGTGACCTAGCTGGCGTGGGGTTAGAGTGACAGATGCGGTTTATGCCACTGCTTAGCATCGCGAGCTTACGGGTGGAAAAAAAAAGAAGTATAGCACAACATGCTGCAACTCGTGGTGATGTGTCTTTGCTCGCATGTGTTGTTCATGTGATTCTAACGGCCGCCAATGAGGATTGTGAGCACCGGTCCATCCTGACCGATACATGACCAGCTGACTTGTTGTGCTTTCTCACGCGAACTTGTGAGCCACTTGTGTGCCTTCTGTTTTTTTGCTGGATTTGCTGCTACAGCGCAGTGGGTCCACCGATGGCTGTGCTATGGGCTGATATTGCCGAGCCTTGTAGCAACCACGATTTGGGCCCATGGCCATTGCAGCCGGGACCCCTCGCGGGCAACATGCCCATCCGCGTGCCTGTGCACATCGCAAAGCAGCAACAAGATGTCAGTAAGATGACCCATGACGGGATCAACATTGCTCGCCGGTGCAAAGGGCACACTGTCAAGACGGCCAAAGAGGCCCAATCAACCGTGGAGTGAAACCGTTGAAGAAATGTAGGTCAGAGGACCAAGCTCCTACTGATGCAGCATCAATGATTTCAGCACCACCCAGTCACTGTGCGCGTGCTAGAGAAATTATCTTACATACATGCAGTGGCAATCGTGTGCAGCAAAGTCAACACGTCCCTAGAACATCCTAGAACATGCTCCGCATGATCTACTACATGCATCAAAACAGCTGCTTATTATCAAGTGTTGGGCATGCTGTTCCTTGGCTGTTGCTTGTTGAACTTATCAAAATATAGCAGTGAAGAACAACAGCGGCTGCCTGTGTAGAGGCAACTTGCATGACCCACGGCGAATTCTTCGAACACCACCGCGATTATATAATGTGGTTTATGCCTATGTGGTGGCAACGATAACCATGAATCATGCCGCTATAGCGGAACCGTCTAGCTTGCCACCATCACCTCAAGTTGCAATCTGCACAGTGTCACAGTGTGATATCTTCCGGTGGGCTCAAGCAAAACAGGCGGTGTGTGTGTGTGTGTGCGTGTATGTGCCCACTGTTGCCGTTCTTCACAAAATTATTTTAGCCATGCCGCAAAAACGAATCAACTTGGCAGGAAAGTGGACCCTTGGTTGCTTGTGTCCGCCCATGGGGAAATGCTGCATGGGTCTTCAAAGGACGGCTGGCCCCTGCTGTGTTCTCTTGCACTGTTCACAACAGAGTAATATCTTCTGGGTGCTGTAACTAATGCTAACTAACACCTTTGTTGTGACAGCGGCCATGCGTCTATAGTGATACTATATATATAGTGACTTTGTTGTGCAGGAGCTGTGGCAGATACCCCTTTGTGTCAAGTGCAATTCGCGGGCAACAACCAGCGGGTCTTTGCGTATCAGATTTTGACTGTTGCCGCAGAAGCCCTATGCGAATACCCCGACGCTCGGGTGCGAAGCTTGAAAGATCTGGAGGAAGTGCAACAGCTGCGGCTGATCATAGGTGGCCCAGCCAAAAGTGGTGACAGCGACCCGGACAGCGTGGGGCTCATTGACTGGCAGCTTGCCATTTATAGCGGCGCTGGTGGCGCCGATGCTGCACTGAACTTCATCCACTATATCTTGGACTACAAGGTCAGGAAAGGCTATGTTACCAATATACCTGAGCTGGCTGCACGCATGATGTTTCCGCAAGCAGCAGCTGCATTGCCAGCCCCCTGGCAAGAATTGACGGACAGAAGCATCGTTATGCCCAAGCCATTTGCGGCTTTGCCACCCAAAGGACGTCGTCATGTCGTTGCGCAATTGGATCCAAAGGAAATGGATCAAAGAGTGGAAGGAAGTGATGGCACAGGATCTGCCACCTATCAACTCACCTTCTTTGGGGGTATCTTTCACTTCAAAGAGCGCTTTGAAAACCTTCGTGTGCCCGGTACATTGTTGCCTACCAGCAACCCCGACAAGCGCGATTACGTCCGCTATGTGGAAATCAGTTTGGCAAATTCAGCTTCAGAACAGCGTGTGCTAGCAGTGCTCAATTCTGTACTCATGGGGCTGCCGGTCTACTTTGTCAACGGTGTTGCAAGCGATGATCCCATGGCATTGTGGCTATTGCAGCAGCCATCGGTCATGGAAGGTGAAACACAGAGCGCAGCTGCCCCTACCACAGCCGCTCCTAGCGTGCCTACTACACTTGCTGCTCCCGCGGTTCTCACGCCCGTGGTGTCCATCGATTGAATGTGATGAGAAGTCGATCGCTGACACAAGGCTGTATACTGTATATAGCATTTTAATTAATATGCTGAATTGTTCACAAAGCTTTCTTGGCGGGTGATTAGCGAAATCACAGCAGCTGCGGCTTGTTAAAGCACAGAACAAGCCCTTACACTAGTGCACGTGAACTCCCCCATCAATGCACATATGTGCAAGAGAAAAGTTTGAAGAGGAAATGTGTTTCAGTGCTGCTGTGTCACCAAAAGATACCGAGTGAGCAAATAGTGCATGGCATCGACCAAGCTTTGCATTTGCTGCCTGTGCGTGCTCAAGCTTTGTGTGTGTGGCTGGCTCAACACGTGCGCAATATTTATCTTGTAACGGTTCCTTCTTCTGCCGCGCGAAGCAGTACGAATAAACATGGATGTAGACTTGCAACAAGAGGAAGAACTGAGCCGATTGGCCACTGCTGACCGGATCCTTTGGATAGTACACCGCTACCTGAAGCGGCACCAAGCACGCTTGTCCACCAAGTTCAAATATGACTTCCTTGGACAAGACGTTGTAGAAAACGTGTTGCCGGACCCGCATGCATTTCGATCCAAGAGGTCATGGGAAGCCGCTATGCACTATGCCCGTATCGCGCTACGAGAGATGGCTGTCGGCTTTGACAGTGCCAGTAGCCTTGAGGCTGACCATGAAGGGGCAACTTTCCAGGCTGACTGGAGCTACCTTGTTGGTATTCAAACCGCTGGTGTGATGACGTATGCTGCGGCGCTTTTTTGGCAGGGCTCGTCAAGCGATTATTAGGCGCACTCTGTGTTGTGATTGGCCGTTACTGGCTTCTTGTTGAGATGCGAAAGCTACAGCATGCCAGTCTTTGCGCTGTTGTGTTTTTCTCAGGCACACATAGAATGAGGCGGTGTCAATATGAGGACAACCAGCCCAAGAGCCCTGGCACAGCTAATGAGCGCACAAGCAAGAGAGCCAACAACAAAAAAACATGGCATATTGCACCGTGTATTGCAGCTTTCTTTCAGGCAAGTATCTTTTTTTTGTGATATGCGATGCTGCTGCGTTCACATCCGTGCCAGTGCCCTATAAGCAGTGATTTGCCCAGCGCAGCCTCGGCTCAACAACGCAATATTGCTTTTGGCTTTGCAGCGCTGCAAACATGGCAAGTGGCTTCAAAGAAGAATTGCGGCAGGAAGAGCACTGGCATCAACTGGTCATCGAGGCACTCGCAAAACACGCCGCGTGGCCCGCGCTGTTGGCGGATACAATGAAAAAGAGCGGTCAGTCACGCCACGGCCTCCTTTTTTGTGCGGTTGACGCCGGTGATTGTGCCTCAGTGCGCCTGCGGATCCCAGTGGCCACCCAGCCGCTCATTGCCCCCCTCTGTGCCGCGGCCCGCCGTTCTGACAACAGCAAGCATTGTGAGAAAGCGCTCAAAGACCATTTGCCAGGGCACACGGGTTTGGCGTTTCAATTTTTTCCAGCCACTTTGTGGAAAACAATTGCGGAACCCCAACTGCATATGAAAGTGAATAGGGCGAATCTGAAGGCCGGCAACATACTTCTATTGGTAGCCTGGCTCATGCTGCCGCCGAATCAAACACGTCGCTTTGGGAACGACGTCTTCGTGGAGCTGGCTTTTTATGAAGAAGGCGCGCAATTGCCACGCGCTCTAGTCAACAATATGACACTTGATCTCAAAATGGAATTGGGATACCGTCTCAGCGAAGCACAGAACACCGGTGATCAACTTGCATCCATGCTGAGGGTGGTTGGCCTGGACCATGAGTTTTTGTGTGATGTCCCAGCATACCGACAGCTCTATACCATGTGTAGCAACCACCTGCAGACCATGTTCGCAGCCGCGCCCCTGCTTGCGCCAGTGTGGGTGAACGAACAAGGGCCTGCAAGGCGCTTGGAGGAACATTCGGCAACTGATAAAATTCTGGCATCGCTCATTGCCTTCTTCGACGAACATCGCCATGTGATCCACACCCTGCAAGAATTCATGGGGCATAACAGGGTTACAGCTGCCTTTGAAAGCTTGGATGCAGAACATCGTGAACTTGCGCGGCAGATGGCACACTATAGCAACAGCTTTGCTGGGCGGCTTCTCAAACCTTGTCCAGCATGTGGTCTGCCTACGCCCGGGCCATATCCATGTCCTTGCCGGAGTCCCGCAGTGGCCCCGCCTGTTCCGTTCAGCGAAGGGAGAACCGCGCAGCCCAGGGTTGAAACAACGCCTGTGAAATCATTTACCAGTCGTCGCAGGGGTAAAAACTTACAGACCGCATTTGTCCTCCCGACTGCAGCCAAGCCGGATCAGCGATGCAACTAGCTGTATGGAACGCTTGATGATAGAGGCCCAAGCTGCTTCTTGTACCGCTTATCAGTTTGAAACACGGCAAAAACAGAGCCAGCGCGCAATCGCCTTGTGTGTGCTTGTGGCCAAAATACCATGTCAGATGAGCCACTGATCGGAGCTTAAAGAAATAGCCCTGTATGTATTATTATTGTCGCTGCTCATCGATCAATCAAAATCTTCTATATATTGATTGCCTTTGTATCAGCCTGCTGTGTATGTGATATGTGTAGCATTGCGCGAAACGTGTGCTGCCTGCATCAACTGAAAGAGCTTGTATTGTTGGTGGATTTCCTTTCTTGTTGGTCGTGTGCTGCCTGAACGGCATGGCTTGCTCTCTGTGTTCCCAGCGGGCAAAAAGCCGTAGTCCGCGGCGAAAGATACACGTGCTGTTGCCAGCCCTTTGCGGAAACAACACCCAGGCTGAAAGCTGGGCGGTTGAAAAAATTGAAGCGTCATCACCGCAATGGCAAACGTTTATGCGTGGCTCTATGCAAACTGCGCTGAGCACAGGGCAAGAGGCACACCTAGAAGCTGAGGCAATCGCAGCCGACATTGCTGCCCTTGTGGATGTTATCGCCGAGCTCAGCAAAGACGCCGTGGCATACCTGCATGCATTGGATCCAACAGGTGCATTCAGCTTGAGCTCTGCGGCACCAAGCAAGCACGCAGGTCCGTGCCTGAAGGGAATCCTGGACGGACTAGCAGCCATAGAGAAAACGCAACAGTGACCTGTGATAAGCCATGCATAAGGATCAGCTAATGCAGCTATAGTTGGTTGCCCCATGAGGCGAGCAATCGCATGACGCACCTGACATATACTTTGTATGTACAAGGAATCAAATACCGCAGCCGCGCGATGCTTTGGTGCGAACACAATAATAGCAGAGCTCTAATTACACAGACACAGCCAGTAGTGTCAGCTACAAATTAAGAGTATCATGTTGTCTCTTGCGTGGAGTTTGTCCACATTTGCACAAAAAGCTGAGTGTGTAAGCAAGCGCTGTTTGCCGTGTTTCTGCTTGTGCTAGATCTTGTATTGGATTCTTCGTCTTTCTTTGTGATTCGCCTGCTTCTACATGGCCGACCAAGACGTCGAAGAAGCCCCTGCAGCACCAGAACAAGGAGCCCTAGAACCAAAAGTGGGCGAACGCATCATGGTGTTGCGTCAGCCCTGGCTAAATGCCATCTTGGACGGAACCAAGACCATGGAAATTAGGTGCCGCAAGCATCGTGCAGGCCAAGTGTGGCTGGGCAGTGGTGGCACAATTCACGGGCGCGTCCGTATAATGGATGTGGTGCAGCTCAGCGAGGAGGATTTCAGGGCGCGTGCGGCAGAACATCTTTGGCCGGCAGACGCAGCATTACCCTATGAAAATCTTTGGGGTCTGTTGTTGGTGGAGGTCGAGAAAGTAAACCCTCCTCTTCCCTATTGGCGGCCCCCATCAGCCATTGGATGGAACGTTTACCGTGCCTCCAAGGAGGACCTGCCCATGAAGACCTTCAGTGCAAAGGGAACCCCCAAGAGACAGGCAGATAAGAAGAAGAGGGCACGGTCAAATAGCCCAGCGGCGGCCAGCAGCAATGGACAGTGAACAACCACTTGCGAAGCCGAAGCATTCAAGTGCAACTTTGCCGCTGCCATCTGCGCACCACAGTGAAGATTACCACCAAGCCACCGAACATTCGAAAAATTAATTAAAATGTGACAGAAGCGGTTGTGTGCAAGTTCGAAGCTGCGATAATGACAATTAGCAATGCTGACATTAATATGCAATGATCCATGCTGTGGAGCATGCAGCTCAGAGCAGCCAGTGCATGCCCCCATGCCTTGAGACATCTTGCGGTAAAGAAAAAAGTGAGTAAAGGTAAACCGCAGCGGCTGCTCCCGAGTTGGGTTCGCATGTATGCCTTTGCCTTTGTCTTGTGTCTTAAGAGCTCTTGATCATGTTGCAATCTACGGGAACCCGTCCATGCACAAGACTTCCATGCTGGTGTGTCACTGTGTGATCTCAAGCTACATTTGTGCGGCGCTGGCTCAATCAATACACCAAGAGAAATCTGTTTACACAAGAGCAAACAAGAAGAGGCACCGATATAAATTGATATAACCGTTTGTAGCCATGCCGGGCAAACGCATGAACATGGCGGCTAGCCTGAAGGCGCAAGGACCCAGGAAAGCTACCCGCGTGAGCGCAGCAGAGGGCGGCCCTTTGATAGCATGTGTGCGACATTGGGGGAATGCTGCGTCGCTCGTCTTTTCAGGACTGTAGCTGTGGTTCTTTGGCGCTTGTGCCGTTTTGGGGCTGTGAAGTCACATAGTAAGTAAGTAGGTGTAGCTGCAGCTGTGTCCTGATGTGTTGTGAACAGGAGCCGTTGCTGACACGGAGCTCTGGCAAGTACAGCTTACGGGTGGGGGTCAAAAAGCATTCGCTTTCAATATCTTGGCCACTGCCAATGAAGTGCTCTTGGAACACCCAGATGACCGCATTCGGAGTTTGAAAGACTTGGAGGAGGTACAGCAGCTGCGACTGGTGGATGGCATGCCGGCCAAAACCGGACAAAATGACCCGGACAGCGTGGGTCTGGTAGATTGGCAACTGGCTATTTATAGCGGCAAAGGAGGTGTCAACGCGGCGTTAGATTTCATTCACTTTGTGCTCCAGAAAAAAATCAACAAGGGTTACCTTGGCAGCCTGCCGGCATTGCAAGCGCGCGTGATGGCACCTGCGGCACACCAACCCCTGCCCACCCCGTGGCAAGAGCTGAGCGACGATTCCCTGGCCATGCCAATGCCATTCAGTGCCCTACCGCCAAAGGGACGTCGCCATGTGGTCTGTCAGCTGGACCGGCAAGAAAAGGATGCTGATGTTGGCTACACCATCACCTTCTTCGGTGGCATCTATCACTACAAACAACGGTTTGAGAATCAGCGTGTCCAAGGTACCCTGCTCCCTGTCGGTGCTGCCAACAAGCGCGACTATGTACGTTACTTAGAGTTTGGTGATGTGGACGCAGCCGCCATGCAACGTATCACTGATGTGCTGGAATCCGTTTTGCTGGGGCTGCCGCTTTACTTCATCAACGGAGCTGGACCTGATGACCCCGTGGCCACATGGCTGCAGCTCCAGCCATCTATCATCCAAGTAGAATTGCATCAGGATGCAGAGGCGCCTGCAGTACCTGCCACCGCGATTGACACAGTGTCTGTCGACGACGACTGAGTGTCTTGGGGCGGCTTGACCACCGAAAGCCCTGCACAAGGCGGGTGTTGTACCATAGCAACGCATACACGCATGGGCCTCTGAACAGCATTTGCACAGCAATGAGAGCCCCGTGGTTGCAGTTGATGTTGTCAAGGACGTTGCAATGGGCGGATTTCTTTGGTGGTGTTTGGCACCGGTAATGCGACTTCATCATCATCGGCTGAAACACGCATTGACATCACACACATATGTATGTATAAAGAATCAAGGCATTTGTGCTGTTGGAGCTTTCAAGTGGCGCAGTAAGCCAAACATCAATCAGTATTACAGCCAGTGCGATATAATATAGCTGTCGCAATGCAGGTGTGTGACAGCTGGTCTCGCCGCTAAAGTAGCCAAAGTGCAGTGCTAAGTAGTACAGAAATTCCAAAGCCGCCGCAAGAAACCACAAAGAAAAGCGCTTGTTGCTGCTGCCTTGTGCACATATGGGGTTTACCAAGGATCAGTTTATCAGTTTCACGGAAGTGATGTTCGCCCAAGTAGCGAACACAGCGTTTCTTGTTTATGTTCTCTGTTGAAGCACCAAGAGGAAATCTTGTATGCAAAGCTGCGCAGTCACGACCAGCGTTCGGTGTTCAACAAACGGCACTGATAAGCAAATGCTTGTGCTTGTTGCTTGTCTTCCTTTTCCTATTTGTTTTGGTTGCGCATGCTGGTTGAGCAACCCAAGCTTGCTATCACCAAACATCACAATGTGCGAATGCGCGACTGTGGTTCACCCGCGGCAAAAATTGTCAAACGGGCTAAGCAGCAATATGATCACAAAGCTGTGCACTATGACATGGAGGTCTGGGTTAAACAAAACCGTGGATCTTTGTGTATGTGTGTGACGGTCTTGGTTTTGCTCATTGCCACAGCCAGGTGTCCCTCGTATACAGGCAAGTCGCACAGCACAGTGAATGACAAGGCACCAGGCTGACAGGTCAATGATGATGCTGCCTACCTGTCTCTTGCACAGGAAATGTGTAGTCAACATTGGCAAGAGCATTGCATTCGATTTGGCACACAAGGAACTAGCCAGCTATAAGTATAAGCGACACTGGCACAAAGACAGCAGCTGTGTGATAATTTTTGCCCAGCCAAGTCTGAAACTTTTATACACTTGAGTTTAAGTGCCAGGGCATGCGTGTATGTGTGTGTAGAACTGCGTGATTCATCCTGCTCCAAAACTCGTTTTGTGTGTGCTTGTATGTAACGGCTTTGCGTTAGCGTGGTGCTTGCGAATGTGTCTTGTGTCCTGTTAGAAAAAAAAAAGGTTGCTGAGCTTGCGCTCATGCGATGAGTCTTTTGCCAAACCGTTGAATGTCACTGAAGATGCCGGCTGAGCAATGCTTGTCCTTTTACACGAACACCTTTGACTTGACAAGCGCGTATGAGCTCAAGACAAGCCGGCTGTTTTCACGCCATGAGTGACATACGCCTCGAATGTGCTCATTCCCCAAATGCAGCGCCTGCAGAATGGGTTCTATTGGAACCATTGAACGGAGATTGGCTTACACCTTCAGGCCAATGCGCAGCAGCAGGTTGGTTCCTGCCGTGTTTTCAGATGGTGGACACCCATGGGCAAGACCAGCTGTATAAATTTGAAAAGTGGGCCGATCATATGGACGGCGTTGCCCTCTACGCAGCTGATGACAAAAATAACAACCGGTTTGCTCAGCATGTCAGTGCAGCAGCTGTACGGCAAGTGCCTGGAAATCTTGTGTTCAACTGTGACCTTTCAATCATCGAGCACAACAATTCCTTCCAGGCGACATATACAACGCTTGCTGGTTGCCCACTATTGCGCGTGGAAGATGCGTTGGCATCAGTTATGACACTAGAACACATTGTGCACCACATTGCTGACGCGGCTGAGGGTATGGGTTTATTGCGCAGCCAAAACCAAGCAGTACACCTTCTGCTGAACGGCTCTGCCACTGAACTACCGGAAGAAGCCGTGTTGTGGTGCAGAGATTCTGAAAGTGGTTGGCTGCAACGCCGTTGATGGCCGATATTGATGGCCGTTTGTATATTACAGCAGCTTGTGCAGATGGAGCGCGTAATTAGATGATCAAATGCCGGTATGCTTATACTCGCAGCATTTGAAGAAGAAAGATCGTGCGGCGCTGTGTTCTCATGTGTATTCATTCAGCTCTCTTTGTGTTGCAATTACACACATGTGCGTGTGCGTCTAGTGCTTCTTCCACGGCTCATTTTGGACACTGCAGCAGATTGTGCAAGGCATACAATCACTAGTTGAGCGCCCGAGCAAGTAATGGCTAACGCATAAGCGCAATGCCACAGAGCCTGTGCTTCATTGACATGATTCCGCTTGAAACAGTCAGCTCTTGTTGCCAACGCTGTGAATCTCCATTTATAAATATCTATATATATACATATACCCGGTGCTTGGGATCTTGACAATAATCACTTCTGGGATAGAAATGAGCAACAGCCCGTGTTGTTTTCTGGCAGTGAGTTTACACAATTCAGCGCTGAACTGTATGTCGGCCTTGTAAAGCCACCAGTAGCTTTGCTGCGATGCAGCCGCGGTTTTGTCTATATGCCACAACGCAATTCATGTCAACGCTGAAAGAAACAAAGACACAAGGTCCACAATCAAACATAATGGAATGACTGCTGCGCATTGCCTGTGATGATAGCCGGGGTGTTCACCACCACAACCATGTGACCCCTTGCCTGTTGATATCGTGCGAGGACGCAAAATATGTTCAGCCAATTTCTTGTCTCCATTGCTTGTTGACGCATATGCATGGAAGCTCGCGGCATTGTGTCTAATATGTTGTGATAAGCAAAGAGAACACGCGCGTGCTGCAGTATTTTGAACAGCATATGCCCTTCCAATAAGCCTCCATTCCACATAACATCAGCATAAGAGCGGTCTTGAAATATACATATACAGCATGCTTCGGCAAAAACATTGTTTTTGTTCATTCAGCTTATTCGCAGAGCTGGTCATCATCATCATAAAGTTATTGGTTACTGGCATTTCATTCAGGCATGGAGACTACAATGCGTGTTCGGAGCGGAATACCTTTCTTCACGTTGTGTAGTGCTTTACCAGAATTGCTGAATGGGTGGGCAGTGTTCAAAATAGCTCGCTTATGTCGCGCAGCCCGCGACGATGCAACCACCGCTGCACTCCCTTCCTTACGTACTGCGTTGTGTAAGCTGGCAGCTATAGCAGTATATTTGGAAAGACAACAGGATCTGCAAATGCCGGGGTTCGAACCCGATGACGCGCTGGTTGTACACATGTATGCGCTGTTCCATTGGGATCCGCCAAACCACACAGCGCTGTGTGCAAGAGTTAGGCAGCTCATGGCCAACAGCTTCAACTTTTACAATGACATCGGCAATGATTTCAGCCTTTGGACAGCAGCTCATCCAACCTTTACCGGCATGTCGCCGCTAGCAATGATGCAGCATATGAATGACCACCTGAAGGATTGCGCGGTCTTCAAACGGTTTTTGGAGCTGCTGGCGGAGAGCCACGCTGATTTCGTGTACTCACCGTGCGTGGCCAGTGGCGGGGCCCACCCTTCCCAATGTACAGGGCCGGGGCTCATCATCGCCTTGCGCTGCGGCACCCTGTCAGCAGCCTTTGGTCTGCGTTATGCGCAGAGTACTTATCACAAGAAAATTTATTGGCCGTGGGTTGCATCACTGAACACACCCAGCAGGACTTCATGAAGTACAATCAGCCACCATGTATGGCAAATAAATACAGAAGCGAACTGGGCAGCGTGTCTAGTGGAGAAGAAAAAAAGCGATCAGCGATCGCATATTTTTCATGGAAGCATATACGACATGTGATGCCGGAAGTCCGGAAGCTACTGTCACAACAAAAATGTGTTGTCGATGTGTTGCAGTGTGTTCTACAGATTGTGCTCTAGGATGTAGGATGTGCTCTATAGGATGCGCTTTGAACATATAGCAAGGGTCAGCTGCTGTACTTCAAATTTAAAGTTGTGTCACAGCCATGGCAGCACATGCAAAGGCTCCATGTATTGCCGCAGCTGCGGCTGTGCCGTTCTCTGTTCTCTGTGCTGTGTTGCCGGAGCTGCTGGATGGCTGGGCCCTGCCAAAGGTGTCACGCCTCTGCCGCACGGCTCGTGAAGCCACTTCGGGTGTACTCGAGCATCTTCGCCAGGCATGGCTGGAGATGGTGACGATCACCGAACAGTTGAACCTTGCCGCATCTATGGTGCATTACCCGGGTTTCGATCCCACGGACCAAGTGCAAATACAGCTGCGCAGCGTGCGCAACTGGGACCCCCCGCACCATGCAAAGCTTTGTAAACAAGCCACGCGTTTCATGCGCAATAGTTTCAATTACTACGTTGGCCAAGGCGACGATTTCAGCGAGTGGGCGGCAACACATGACATATCTGCAGATTTGTCACCCATAGAAAGCATGCAATATATGAACAGCCACCTACAAGAATGCCACGACTTCAGAACGCTTATGACAACGCTGATTGCGGGCAGGGCCGACTTTTTGTATTCGCCTTCGGAAGCGGATTCCGACATAGAAGCTGTGATCGGTCCAGTGCATTGCACAGGCCCAGGACTTCTCATTGTCTTGCATCACAAATGCTTGCCCGTGGTGCTGTGCGTCCGGTACACCCAAGCCACTTACAAGAGAAAGATCTTCGCCCCATTTCTGGCTTCGCTGATGGCTTAATGCGCTGGAAAGAAAATTTGAGCACGCAGCTACAAAACTGCATGGGCGCAACAAGCCCTACTAATATAGTCACTACATATACCGAGTTGCCGCTTTTGACCAATGCGGAAAAGCTAGCATCCTTTGGTGATGCCATGTTTGAGAGTGGCACACAAGTTACAGTATCAGCAGGGCCTTTTTTTGTCAACAGCCCAAATTCCACGACGGTTTTTGATATGCATGTTGACAATGCAAAGCCAGGATTGCCATTTTTTGTGTTTTGCCCTGTTGTGCCAATGCTCTTGGATGGCTGCGCGCTGCTCCAGCTAACAATGGTGTGCCGCGCTGCCCGCGATTGCACCGGCAATCTATCCACGGTGTTGCAGGCAACAAGACGCGAAATCCTCCAAGTGACCAAATACTTGGACCTGGCGCCCTTGAGGTTCCCCGGCTTTGGGTGCATGGATGTGATGCATCTATATTGTGTCTCTTTCAAAGACAACCGCGCATGGCACAGTGGTGAAGACCCTCACCTCAGCATTTGGATTCCCACTCAGCAGGTGTACAGAGGCATGACGCCATCGAAGGCCTTCCGATGTATGAACCAGCACCTGCAAGGAAGCATTGTTTTTGAATGTGTGCTGGACCTGCTTGCTTCTAGCGATGCACAGTTTTTGTTTCCCACAGCAGAGCATTGCTTTGAATCAACAAACAACCCTTGGTGCTGCGGGGTTCCAGCAATTGTGATTGCTATGCGTTGCAAAACCGTGCCTGTCACGATCACCCTGCACTATACAGCACCTGTCTACACGAAGCAATGGCACGGGCCAAGAAAACGATCATTGACCGCATAGCAGCAATGAAAAAAATTTCGTGTTGATGACAGTCGGCTACTGTAAAGCATGGGCGCAACCAGCCCCAAGACAGAGCAACTCAACTTGTGCGGCAGGAGTGTCTACTAGAGGCAGCAACCAAAGACATCATGTTCTCTTGTAGCAAAACCTTGCCATGCACTTGCACAGATAAGAAGCGGATGTTGACAACCACAGATGAATCACTTGTTTTACACACACACACATATATATATATATATGTATATATCCATGCGTGTGTCTGCACAGCTGCTCGTTAACAAAAGGCTGCGATTCAGTTGATTGTGTCACGTACTTGTTCTTGTTGATTTTATTTTCCTTCACTCTTCTGTTGTGATGGCGATGAATGCTGCAAGTGCTGCAGACCCGCCACAGAACCCACAATTGCGGCGACTGGCGCGCCTGCCACAAGAGTTGCCACAAGAAGCGCCATCCTATCCGCAAGTGGGGGACCGCATCATGGTTTTGCGTCAGCCAAGCATGGACGGCATTTTGGATAATGGCAAAACGATGCTGATTGGCGCCAAGAAATCTCGTCCGGGATATACCTGGATTGGCACGGAAGGTCACGTCCACGGGCGGGTCAAGATTACTGAATCCACCCCCCTCACACCTGAAGACGTGAAGGCAAGACAAGAAGAGCACCAGCTCCCAGTCAATGCCAAGTTGCCCAAGAATCCTCATGGCCTGATGCTCGCAGAGGCAACCCGTCTAGCGACGCCGGTTCCCTATTGGCAACCCGACCTTGCCCTCGGGTGGCACGTATATCGCGCTGCAAAAAATGATTTGCCTCTCAGGTCAAACTGTTGTAAGAAGAGATCTGCAGAAAGCCTTCAGGGCTTGTCAGATTCAGAAAGCAAAGAGAAAAGGCAAAGCGTTGATGACTCTGCCGATGGCATCCGTGCAAGTTCCACGGCTCCCATCGGCGCCGTGCTTGTGAAACTAGAAGAAGACAACGCTGTCATTGCAGCGCAAGATCCAGAGGTTGTTGCCCCTGTTGTAGCCCCGGAGAGCTGATGGTATCTTGCCTGCTGTGCAAGCGAGCATCAACATGTGTTTCAGTAGCCCCAAGAAGGCAATATGATGACCTTAGAACCACGCTGCGACATGCAACAGGCCAAAGCTTTCCGTGTGTGTGTATTCTATCATTTGCTCTTTTGTAATTGCTCATACATGCATCTTGCCGCAGAATGGTTTCACTGTCGCCTCTTGCACTGCCACTTGTCTAGCTAGTAAAACTCAATTAGCACAAGACCACGTTTGCTGCACTGCCGTGTTTGTTCAGTGGTGATGCAACAAAGAATGTGTTGACTTGGCCACACAGCGACCGCGCGACAGCATGTGCCTGGTTCATCAACTAACGCCAACGGTGTGCTGTTCAGAACATTTTCAGCCCACTTTCATCAAAGAAAGAGTAAGGAGCAGGTGCGGTGCTATGTCATCACGCAGCCGCCTGTTTGCGGTGCTAATATATAGTTTGACTTGCGACCGCTGATTTACACAATGCACGCCTCTCTGATGCCAGTGAAAGAGCGCTTACAGATAGCTTATTGAAGAACATAAGCGCGTGCCATACCTCAAACTACACTTGTTCTGGCTCTTCCTTGTTACTTCCACACCAGTTGCCAGCATTGTGTGCTATATAGCTGTAAAGCTTTGTGGCGGATCCAAGACCTTTTGTTTCGCATGGAGACCAAATCACTGAAAGAATTATGCTCACTGGGTTGTCAAGTGTCAAGTGATCTAGCATTTAGCATCAACAAAGGCCTTGCCCTGCGCGTGTTTGGCGTCGTTACCTGCCAATGCATTCAAGACATTGGGTGGTGCTTTGCAAACTCATGGTGTCATCACTAGCGATATGGCCTATTTTGTCAGTTTGAAGTTGTACTATAGACCCTTGACGCGTGCACCTGCCACCTCCCTTCAAAAAAGGTAACTATGGTCTCTTACCACCCGTGTGGACCGACGAGCACATGCGAGAGCAATGCAATTCGCTAGACAGTCGGCAAGTTTGTGTCTGTAATGAACATACGTGTTATGAAGCGTCCTTGGCTTCTGCATGGCTATACATTTTTTCTTTGCGTCCAAAAGGGGCGAAGAGATAGACAGCGGCAGCGGGCTGTTGCGCAAAATCTATGATCACCGCTTGTGTATAAAATTAGTCACCCTCGCAATACCTTGTGATCCATGAACCAGCGGTGTGTTGTAGCAGCGTGCTGTTTAATATAAATGTTGGCCGCACCGATCAAAACTACACAGAGCAGGTGGCGAGGTTGATGTCATCACACCGAAAAAATACTGTCCTCATAATCACGGGCGTCAATGCATAGTGCTGTAGTATGTTGAACGCTGGTATGCGTGACGCATCAGTTTGGTCATACCTGTATGCTCTGTAACTAAAATGGCACATGTCCTTGTTCAATATGAACTGCACAGGCTAGTCTGATTGGCTCTGCTTGTTCTGGTAAGCTCTGAGAATGCTATGTGAGCCATGGCCTATTTGCTTGAGAATAAGTAAATGCTCCACTAGCCGATGCAGAGAGCTTACAGAAATAGCCGGCAAGCTGTGTGATACATTGAGCCACATCACCGCACTGCATTTGCGAACATACATCGCAGAGCATAGCCTTTTACTTGAAAAGCAACAGCAGTGCAGGACTCTTTTCTTCACTGCGGCGATGCTTTAGGGAAGCTCCTTCAAGCTCAAGGTGTTGCTGTCCTTTTGTCGAAACGGGTCTACCGGTCCACCTGGTTGCCATGGCCATAGCCACAGCCATGAACATAGAGCACCATCCGTCACAAGAAGCAATTTGCCGCACATAAAGATAGATGAACAATAGCAGCGCAAACAAGCAGCAAACTTGCACAAAGAAGCCAAAACATACGCCGTGTAGCCTTCACTGTCGCAAAGCTTGACACAACACTCCACGCACTGGCTGATGCTGTTGATTTTAGCTAATGCTGTTGGCCCTTGATTTTGAAGCTGTTGTGCCATTGTATCGTGTGATTCAAGCGTGAAAAGCCTTTGACAGCCTTTGAAAGCCTTTGTTTGTGATGTAGCTTGCCGTGGTCGGTTCAAAATTGTACTAGCATGCAAAGACAGTCAAAGCTGCGCGTCATATGGAATAGACCTCATCGACAAGGCAGAAAAAGCT